GTATCTTGTCTGGCTTGGAACAGCAGATGGAATATGTACATCCTCCCGAAAGCAATGACTAGACCTGTTGGTTTCTTGTACGCCCCCCCCCCCCCCCAAAGGAATTCCCCAATCATAATTATTCCAGAAATTGGTGTCCACCTTATGCTTCGTGACTGCTGCTTGTGTTGACGCCTCACGAGAGCGGCGTCTCGTCGAACCCATGCTGCATGAGATGGGGGCTGGTAGGCTTTAGTGGGCCAGAGATGGTTTCTGTTTTTGTCGTTTGTGGGTTGTCCTCTTCCGCCTCAAGCTCTGCCTCTTGCACTTCAGATCCCTTATCGGCTGTCGATGCCTCAGTCATGATGATCTCGCCGTTGAAGTCTGGTTGAGGCACAAAGTCGGGCGGGGCAGTAGATTTCTCTTGAGCATGTCCTTCAGGCTCCGAACCCTTGTCGCCGTCGACCCCAGCAATTTCAGCACTCTTTCCAGCTGTGTCATCGGGCTCTTTCTTCGTCTGGGCCTGAGAACGGCTCCTTCTCGCATTCGCAATGAGATCCTTGAACTCATTGTCATGCTTCGTCGCCCAAGCCGCGCCATCAAACTCCTTGTCCTTCACCGCCGTCGCCATGGCGCCCGCTCGACCCCTGCCCAGCGCCGATGGCCTGCCGCTTTGCGTTCGCTCCCAGACCTCCAGATCATGTATCAACTCGGACCGTCGTTTCGGCCTCAACGAGTCGCAATTGGCATTCCAGATGGTGATCCACTCCCTGTGCCTCTTTTCCATCATCTGGCGCGAGCCGCCCGTCGACAAGCCGAGGTCGACCATTTTCTTCCGCAGCGCCTGGTCTTTCAGGATCGAGTAGTTCAGCGAGGGCAGCCTATCCAGAGCCTTCGCCCCGGGCTGCCTCGCCCGTTGGTCATACGGCAACGCCGACTGCGCTGCCCTGGCCCGCCGCTCCCCGCTTCCGCTTCCGCTTCCGCCGCCGAAGGGCCGGGGCATTTATCGAGATGCGCAAAGACCTGCTCTTCCTTCATGCGGGTCTGGCACATGGGACACGGCACGAGCCCGTCTTCGGGTTCGTACGTCTCGTCCCCGTCCCCGTCCCCGTCCCCGTCGTCCCCGGCCCCGTCGTCGCCGCCCTCGTCGTCATCCTCCGAGTCGGGAATCTGGTACACCTCGCGCAAAGGGGGTCGCGGGTTCCTGGGACCGCGCGGCGCCGCTGCTGCTGCCGCTCAACCGCGCCGAGCTGCGCAGCCGTTTGGCTCGGGCGCCGCCGCGTCGGCGTCCTTCTTCTCGCGCTTGCGTTTCTGCGACCCTGTTCGCGTCTTGCTCGTCGTGCCTGTGGTGTCGATGGCAGGCGACTTCCTCGCAAACTCAG